TCCTATGACCCAACTCTGCATATAACGGGCTATTGCCTGATATTTGCTGACAGAGCAGAGCCGCGCTGCAGCCGGGAAAGATCCTGAAATTTTGTGTGGATCCACCCTGCTGCATGATTGACAGCTGACTATTCCTCTCTAGACTCTAGAGCACCAGCTGTGCCCGCCCCACTCCTCTGTCTGTCCCTCCAATAAGCACTAGAGGAGTAGAGAGAAGGGAGGGGAAAATACCTGCGTGCAGTAGTGATTGGTGGTGACAGTTCTCTGCAGGGAGAAGACGGAGTGGTTTGTGATCGCTCAGTTCTCAATTTAGAGAGCTGGCGTGTGGCAGCTGCAGTAAGGTTACCAGATTTTCACAATGAAATCTGGAGACATGCTACAGACCACGCCCACTTAACAACACCCACACAGTTAGTCAACCCCACAGTCATACCCACATTTTAGCCACTCCCACAAAAATCACACCCAATTCCTCTCCTGGAATATCTCCGCGGGCAGCAGGGGCCGGCCGATGTTGCAGAAAAAATGGGGACAAATCTAGGGGCGCTAATTCCGGGGCGACTTGCAACAGGGACTGCCCACGAGGATTAAATGGTAACCTTTAAGCTGCGGTGTCACACGCCGGCCCAAATTATTGGGAATTGTACATTTTACTCCCCTGATACTTCTCCTTTAATTGCAGATTTTTCAGGGTCTGATCAGAACTGAATACATGTAAAATAACGGCATTGATCTTCATCCACATGACCGACTCTCTAGGCGTGGGCCGGCATAAGAACAGATGCAGCCGAATCAGATTTGCTTTATTTATTTTTTTATTATAAAGTATTTAAGTGCAGAAGTCAAAAACCGTAACGTGTCAAATTCATTATTTACAAAGAAAAGGCATTTCCTGGATCTGTGACACACGCGGGGGATACGTGTGCAGCAAAACCCTGTGTGTGACAGTTGCTAGGTGATGGTGGTTACTGAGGTTTCCATGGAGACCAGAAGGGGAAATCACCTTGTATACATGCGGGTGGAGGTCCAGCTCCCACTGTACATCCCGGGCCACTCCGGCTGTAAGCACTACAAGTCACATCTCCGCCCCCCTCTCCTCCTGACCAATCACACAATGGAGCCTTGAGCCATTTGCATTGTGATTGGTCAGGAGGACAAGTGGGCGGCGATGCGATCACAGCACTTACAGCTGGAGCGGGGCCACAAGTTCAGCAGGAGCTGGCCTTCCACCTAGGTGAGTACAAGATGATTTGTGGGAGAAGTAGATAGTTCTGATTATGGAAGGTGGATGTAAAGCCGGGGTAACTAAACTTCAGCCCTCCAGGTGTGATGAAACTACAAATCCCATCATGCCTGTGGCTATCAGAATCTTGCAATGCCTTATGGGAGTGGTAGTTCCACAGCTGGAGCTGTGAAGTTTGGTTCCCATCCCCACCCCCACCCCCGTGCTATAGAGCAAAGGCACTGTTCAGCTTTTACTGAAAGAAGAGCTCCAGGAGTTTTACCCTCCCCCCTCCCGATCCTCAGTTCTGCAAGGGGTAGGTACTCATTTTGGTCTAGGGGTGACCATAAAGAAGAAATACTCTCCCGATCCTCAGTTCTGCAGCAGCTCCCTTCTCTTCCCCTTTGCTCCGGCTGTGGTATGTCCCTTGGCGTCCTCACATCTAATGGGCCTGCATTAGACATAAAGGTCCTTGGACCGCCGGAGCCTGGGGGAGAAGAAGCTGCAGCAGTGGCGTCACAAGGGGGGTGCGGCCCGCACCGGGTGACACCAAAATGGCTGACAGTCATTTTGGTGTCACCCCTCTGAAAAGTTGGGCACTCTGTTATGGACCGAGAGCCCGACAGCTGCATGAGAGAGGAGGGGACCCGGCGGTATACCCGGCGTGTGAATGTCCCCCCTCCGCTCTTTGCTGACGTCCGTCACTAAGATGACCACCCCAGGGAACAGAGTCAGCGCAGTCCTGATAATAGACCCCATCCCTGGCCTGCTGTACGGATATATACCGGCCATGGACCACAAGGCTCACTATGTGGATAAAGAATTGCCGTCTGGAGGTTCCTCAAACCTGACGCTTGTGATGTAATAGGCGCGTCCCAGATTTTCCTTTATAGAAGTTGTACTGATCGTCAGCTTGATGCGGCAGAGTGGGGGAGGGGAGGGGGTGCAGACACACAATTCACCCGGAGGTCATTCACCCAGCACCTGGCATACACACAGCTCCGTGTACAATCCATACAGCCGCCCTGGGTGCAGAGATGAGAGATGAACCTGGATGAGGAGCGGGGCAGCCATGGTGGGGGGGGGGGCATTGTGGCCGCCGGAGGTGCTTTGCCAGGTCAG